TTTCTTCTACCACATTGAGTCTTAGGGATCAAACTCAAGGCTATCAGGTGTGGCAACCATTGTTTTTACCTGCTAAGCCAACTTACAGGCCATATTTCTTACTGGCCTCGAGCTCGCTATATATAGTTGAAACTGACTTTCAACTTACCTCCCAAGTACTAGGATTGCAGGTTTGTCCCCATACCTGGTCTCATGAGGTTGTGGAGGCTGAAACCAGTGATTGAAACACACAAAGCAAGCACTCTATAAACTGAGCTCATATTCCCCTCACACAACTCATTTTCTTAAGTACACACATTTGTTATAATTAAAACACACACACATATATGCACACACATTGTACATACTACTCTCTCAGTAAAGCAGAGGCAACTTTACATGGTTGAGGTACTGGAGGCAGACTCCCTGGATTCAGATCCTGTCTTAATCACTGATGTGGTCTAAGCCGCTCTGTGCTATTCTATCCTCAGTCACTTAGTCTGAGTTTGTGAGGCAGGCTCTTATGTAGCCCAGGCTGATTTAAACCCTCTAAGTAGCAAAGGGCTGCCTTGAACACCTGACCTCCTGCCTCTATCTCCCAAGTGCTGGGATTACAGGTACTGTAATCTCTCCTGGCTTTTTCTTCCCTCTAAAAAAAATTACTATTGTATATATGTATGATTTTGAAGTGTGCACTCGTGCAAAGGTCAAAGGACATCTTTGTGCCACTGGTTTTCTCTGCCCACCTTTATGTGGGTTCCAGGGATCACACTCAGGCCTTCAAGCCCTAGTCACAAGAGCTATACCCACTGTGCCATACTGCTGCCCCTATTTATTTTTTATGTGTGCATGTAGGAGCCAGTCAACCTCAGCTGTAAGCCCTATAAGTCCATCTGATTTTTCAAACAAGTTCCTTTCTGATTTGGGGTTGGCCCACACAGGTCAATCCCAAGAGCCTCCCTATTATCTACTGCTCCCCCAGTGTTTGGAGTTCAAGCCCAGGCTACCAAGCATTTAGATTTCTAAGGCCAGCTTTCCAAGTATGTTCCAGGAATAGGACAAGTCCTTTACTTGAACGGCATCTTTGCTGACAGACATTTCCCTGGCCCCATGCCTTGTTTTCTTTGAAATATTTATTATTGTTGGGAAGGTAACAAAGATGTGATGGTCAGAGGACAACTTTCAGGAATCAGTCTCTCCTTCCAAAGTGGGTTCCTGGGATCTAGTTCAGTCTTAAGAGTTTGCACAGCAAGTGTCTTTACCCACTGAAGCCACCTCATCAGACATCTTCACTTTTAAAACATGTATTTCAAGTCAAAGATGTAATCAGCTGGGGCGAAGTAAGAAAAAAATCACTTTGAGCTCTAGGCAGCCTGGGCTACAGAGTGCATAGTCCATTTATTTCACCACTCCACAATCCAAAGCTGACATAAAACTTAAATTACATGTGTGTATAGCACTCACCAGATATCTATGTGTACACACACACACACACACACACACACACACACACCCTTTAACAAATGTACAGTGCCTCGGGCAGAGTCAATTCGGTAAATGTAAACCTGTTTTACCAGAGGGAAGAAGCTATTGCTTGAAATGTACTGTCATTTTTTAAGAACATACAAAAGATATAATTTAACGTACTTTCAGCTGGGGGAGTCATCTGAAACTGGAAAGCACTATGTTAGATTACTAAAGGCCATGAACACAACCTCTGAATTTTAAGTAAAATTCCTAGACTAAAGCTGCCCTGGATAGCTTTTCAGTATATTGGCTGCTCTGTCAAGAGGGCTTTGTTTTTGCCAGAGATCCTGTTAAATTAATACCCATCTTGATTCTTAAAAAAGAAAAAAAATGGTACTATTTAATTTTTAGATATTTTTCTATTATTTTTAATTATGAGTATGGAGATGGAGAATCTATGTACCTGTATTCAGGTGCCCATGGAGGCCCTGGAGCTCCAGTTACAGGTTGACATAGGCACTGAAAATGGAACTCAGGTCTCTGCAAGGGTAATACACATTCTTACAGTTTAGCCACCTGTCCGTGCTCCCAAAGCTAATAATTCTAAGCTATTTTAACTGTGAACAAAACTAAAGCATATAATACTTATGTATGGAAAAGCACAAAAAATCCTAACTAGGTCTTTTTTTTTTTTTTTTGGTTTTTCAAGACAGGGTTTCTCTGTGGTTTTGGAGCCTGTCCTGAAGTAACTAGGTTTTTACTTGAAATTTTTTTAATTTTATTTTTTAAATTTTTATGTGCATTGGTGTTTTGCCTGCATTTCTCTGTGAGGGTGTTGGATCCCCTGAAACTAGAGTTACAGTTATGAACTGCCATGTGGGTACTGGGAATTGAACCCAGGTCCTCTGGAAGAGCAGACACTGCTCTTAAACACAATCGTCTCTCCAGCATCTCTTACTTGAATTTTTAAAGCCTAGGATTTGTGACTCCAGCATACTATATACTGTACATTCTATAAGAATATATCTTATGTCGCGTGTGTGGCACACGCCTTTAATCCCAGCACTTGAGATGCAGAAGCTGGCTGAGTTCCGAGAGTTCTATGCCAGATTGGTCTACAGTTCCAGGACAGCCAGGGCTAGGAGGAGAAATCCTGTCTCAAAGAACAAAAAAAGTCATCAGTATTTCCCAGACTGAACTTCAAATGGTAGAATTAAATATAGGTTGGCCAAACTTTCCTCAAAGGCAAAGTATCATCCACTACCTTTTAAGTTTATACATCTGTAAAACACCCGAGCTCTTATTTTTTGGCCTCCACATCAATTCTATTACTATTGCTAATTCTTTAGCTGAAAGTGAACACTTAACCTCTTTAAGTGTTGCACAGTGCATGGTTTTCAGCCTCTACTGAGCAAAGGACAAATCTAGAACTTAACTTCAGTATGACTAAATACAGACACTGGGTTGCAAAGATGGCTCAATACAGAGGACCTGAGTTGGGCTCCCAGACCCTTCCCAGGTGGCTCACAACCACCTGTGAACTCCAGCTACCAGGGATCTGACAACCTCTTCTGACCCTTGCAGGTGGACACACACACTAGTACACACAAACCACACACTATAAATCATTTTTAAAAGGCAGTTTAAACATACTATTCAGACACCAGTACCTAAATAAGTATTCAATGTTTACTTATCATAAGTTATTTTTCTAAGATCTAACAACATCCCATCTAATATATATATATATATAATGGATTTAGTGCATAGGTAACCATGTATGGTTACCTATGCACTAAATCCATAATGGCCAAAGTAACTTTGCAGCCCAGGTTGGTAGGGGTATGCTATACAGGTTCCATAGAGGAGTCCAACCTACTTTATATCTAAAAAGCATTAAGCTTTATGGACTAACCATTACATAAAATCAAAAGAATACTAAATTCTAATTTACCTTTGGGGTGCTATGATTATGTAACAAAACTTTTGGTGAGAGTATCAGTCAAGAAATCAGAGTTTTTTACTTTAAAAAATCTTAGCCAGGTAGGGATACAGAGTGAAACTCCTAACTTAAAAACAAACAAAAAAAAAAACCAAAAACAAAAAAGAAGAAGAAGAAGAAGAAGAAGAAGAAGAAGAAGGAGAAGAAGGAGAAGAAGAAAGGAAGGAAGGAAGGAAGGAAGGCCTGGCAGTGGCACACACCTTTAATCCTAGCACTGGGGAGGCAGAGACCAGTGGATATCTCCAGCCTGGTCTACAGATCGAGTTCCAGGACTGGCTTAAAACTACACAGAGAAACCCTGTCTCGAATACGCCCCATCTTCCAAAAAAGAAGAAAAAGAAGAATCAAGCCTGAGATACATAGCCTAGTGGTAGAGCAATGACTATGTGCCTCTGATAAATTCCAACATGCACAATCATTTTTTTTAAATCACCTTTGTCAAAAACCAGTTGAGACTAAAATTTAAATTCAATCCTTTCTATAAAAATCTCAGATTTGTTAGCAGCTCGAAGGACAAAACTGAGTCTAAAGTCCTAAGGCACCAAAACTGGTCGCAAATTTTAGCTATCTACCCCGCTGATGCGAAGCTCCGCCCATAAAGCCACACAGTCGCTGAACAGCAAGAGAACTCCAGGAAAGGTTGGCGCCCTCCACGTTTCCAGCCCCTGATGGCTCTGACCCTCCCCCACCAGTCACTGCCGCGGAAGCATGGGCACAGCATCAGCCGCACCCCACCGCGGACACTGAGAGGACGCTGAGCATCTCCTCCCAATAATTACGACTAAGAGGAGCCGCTGAGCACGTTTCTACTCTCTAAGCTGTTACGGCACCAACCACGATGTTAGGAGCAAAGTAGAGAAGACTACAGCTCAAGGTCCCTATGCCCACGGCAGAATAGACTAAAGAGCCACAGCATAAAGTCCGAAAACCTCCACTGCTCCCCGTCGGCGAGAGCCCCTCCCACCCACAGGGACGCAGGGCGGGGCACACACGGAGACCCAAGTCCCGGCCAGACGCAACAGCGGGCTTTCCCCGGCGCCGCTTCACTGCCAAGGAGGCGGAAACCCCGGCGGGGCGGGGCGGGGGGCGTGGCCGAACGCGCCTTCCGGCCAACCGGATCCCACGAAGGCGGGGGAACACGGGCTTCACGCCCCCTCGCCGCCGCGCCCTGAAAGCCGCACGCGGGAGACCCCCTTCCCGTCCCGCAAACCCCGCGGGCCCGAAGAGATGCAGCCCAAGGCCCCACCCACGCGGCGGGGAGGAGGGGCGGGGCCGCAACCGCGGGCACTTAGCGCGAGTGCGTCCCGCCCCTTTCTCCACCACCGCACGCGCGCCGGCCCCGCCTCTGATCGGCGGGACGAGGGCCCGCCCCTCCGTGCGCACCGGGACTACGCTCTCCTCCCCCCCTCCCGCACGGAGTGCGGCCCCGCTCCGCCCCCCATAGCCACGCACGGGAAGCCGAGGTCAGCCCCCCCCGAAAAACACACGCCCTCCAGTCCCAGGTTACCCGCCACCCAGCTGCCGGGCAGACCGCGACGCGGCGTGCTCTTACCGCAAAAGCTCCAGCCACTCAGCCTGCGCGTCGCTCCCGGCGTGAGCCTCGCACCCAGCACGGAGGCCCCGGAACGGCGCGGGCACAGGCCCGCAAGAGAGGACTGGCAACCTCCTATGCGCTCACGAAGCGGTCACAGGCCTGGGTGCCCAGACTGGGAAGGAGGGAGGGAGGGAGGGAAACTCTTAAGGGGGGAAGGGGAGGGGGGAAGATGGAGAAACCGTCTCTGCCGCCTCTACCGCCGCGGCCGCTTCTCTGTTACCCGGGAAATCCCGCCCACTCTCCCAGCCCGCCCCGCCAAGGGAAGGCTTAACCTCGCTCCGCCACGGGATATACTAGCCATCCGTCAAAGGTTGAGCCAATCACCGCGCCGTACAGACCTACTCCCGCCTCCTTTCCTCGCTGGGAGGGGAGGGCGAGCCGCTCACCTTCTCCACGCCCCTATTGGCGGGGAGCGTCCCTAACTCAACCCCGCCTATTGGAGACTGATTGCCGGATCCCTCCCCCAGGCTGCAATATTATTGGAGGAAGAAAAGCACCTCCTCACATTTCATTGGAGAGTCCCACATAACCCTCCCCATTACCGCCCCAGCCACAGGCCTAACAAATCGGCTCCCGCCTCCGCCGGTCACCGCATTGGAAGGCTACCTTCGGTTCTCTCACAGCCCCAGGAAGGTAAGTAACCAATGTGGGGTAAAAATGTCTGTAAGTGAAGCCGACTCCACCCACCACACTGCTGGCCAGGCCCCGCCCCCAACAATCTGATTGGATTATCTTGGCGCCGGTAGGAGCCGCCATTGGACACGGTGCCGGTCCAGGAAGGAGCCCATTCCGCCCTGCGCGATGCTGAACCTTAGCAGTCCTTTTGTGGAATGTTTACACTAGAGACTGAAGCTCAGAGTTCCAAGGCCCGAACTGGAAATGGCGCGGAGCTCAGGGTTGAAACCCGAGGCTTTAGGACTTTGAGGAAAAGACAGTAGTATTACCACCGTAGAGGACTTACCAAAACAATGACAGAAAACCTTATCCTTCTACCCACTTATTTTTACTTTTCACTGTCTCCTAAATACAGCCATCTGGACCATTCAGCAGCTACTTTCAGCAGCAGATTCCCAAATTAAGGTCTGGAGCTTTAAACGGATAAACCCGGAGATTACAAGCCAGTCGCTATGGCTGGCTGCATTCTGTGACACTCCGACAGCCTGAATGTGCAGCCCTCAGAGGGCGGAGACAAGCAAGCGGAGGCCTTTAAATGTCACTGCCTGGGCAAGCCTCCGGAAGGCGGAGCATGAGGCAAAATGTATTCCCTATTGGCAGAGTAGATCCAGAGACATTTTAGGCCAGGAGAACCGAGATACAGAATAACTCAAACAGACCACGGTATAAATAAACCTTGAGGATGCATTCATATTCAGAGGATGAGTAAAAATTCCAGTGTGTCTGTGTGAGGGGGTGGTCTTGAAAATGACTGTTCAAAGAAAAGAAACTGCCATCCCAACTCTTCGGGAGAATGAGGCAGGAATATTGCTTGAATTTAAGAACTATAGACAAGCCTCTTCAAAGAAAAAAAAAATTGGGGGAGCATCCATAGTCTCTTTGGCAGAATGCGTTAATGGCTGTCTCTAAGTCCTCTGGGTAAGTAACAATGCGTGAGCACACAAAGTGCTTTCAAATACCTAGTTCCTTTTATTTATTCACCAATAAAGCGTGGGACCAAAGCCCATGTTGCTTTGGGGGTGCTTTCGCTGCACCATGAGGAACAGTTAGGCAGGACTAGTCTTCCAGGGCTCTACCGACAAAAAAATAAAAAAGAAAAATTTCTCCCTAGAGTTGTGTGTCCCCAAGAGATACTGCACGGGGAAACGTTTCGTAAGCCCAATGCTGCCCTCCTGTAATCCTGCGGAGACTACCATAAATAAGTGTTGGCAACAGGTGGGTTTTGACTCCGAGGACGGCCCCTTGCCGCGAGGCCATAGTAATGAGTTGTGAACTACAAGAGTGCCCGACAGGTGGGAGCGGTCACAATGGTAACCAAGCCAAGCCCTAGGCCAGGACAGGGCTCTAAAAATAAGAAAAACACGGGGCCAAACCGTCCAGAGGTTGAGAAAGCAGCACTCTAGAACTGACAGATTTCTACCTTGAAATGAAACGCCTTACCCACTATACTGGGTACCTACCACGCAGCACTCCCACCATGGTATCAACAAGCCCCCCCCCAGTCTTTGCCATAAATAGGTCTCCTGGACTTCCCTTGACCGCAAGAGACCGAAGTATCATAGATCTTGTTCCATCATTAAGTTGTCATCAGATTCCGTAGACTAAGGACCACGACTGTCTTGCCCAGGGAATAAGGATGCGGCCAGTGTCCAAGCTTTCTCAAACTTAAATTTAAGCAAGTCAAGGGGCACGAAGAAAAACAGCAACGGTTGACCCGAACTCATTCCCTGCCCTCAATGGGGCAGATCCGGAGCTACGCTTTCCAGCGCAAAAGCACAATTGTAAGGCTACTAGATCTCTACACTCGGAAGAATCTTTGTGTGCCTCCAAGGCATTCCCCGCCCCCCTTACTAAGGGCGCGGAGCTTGAGACTTCCGGGCGGGAGGGAAGTTGCAGGGAGCTAGGCGGGCCGCAAACATGTGCCGAGCGCGCTCACGAGAAGGGGGGGGCAGGGAGCAGGAGGATGTCCCCCTCCTAGCTTGTCCTAGAAGGGGAAGGCCTATGGAATTCGCCAATCAGAAGAAGGGGCGGGGGCTTGCACCTCGCATAAGCCCCAGGAATCCTCCCTCCGCCCTTCGAAGAAAAAATCTTAGCAACTTAAACTCCAGTCCAGCCTCCCAATAGGCGGAGCCCTAGAGAATGTCATCCAATCCACACACAAGAAGGGAAAAAGGGACTCGCACCCAACCAGTGGAAGACAAGAGAAGGCGGGGCCTCTGGAGAGCCTGAAGAGGGTAGAAGAGGAAATGGCCCCGCCCCTCTCGGGTCCCCTGCAGGCCGGTTGCACAAGCTCCCCGCAGGAGATAGTAAACAGTCTAGGCCAGGCAGGAGAGACAGAGGTGGCTACTCTGCCTGCCTCTGAGCCTCCCCTCCCCTCGCTACACCGCCACGGCCCGCACTTTGCGCTGGCGCCCCGCCTCTCGGCCCGCAGCCGCCATCCGGCTGACAGGCGCGCCCCTCCCCGCCCGCTGATGCATTTCCTTTTCCCTATTCCAAGCGTGGAGTCTCTTTTCCCAGTTTCCGACCTTCACTGCCCCTTTCAGGCCACCCCCTCGTGAACGAGCGCGCGTGCGCGCACGGCTGCCCCCACCCCGTACGCAGCCCTGTGGCACGCAGCGGCACCTCGCGGAAAGAGGAGCCCAGGCAGCACACTACGCGGGGAGGGGGGAGCAGTCGCCGCCACCGTGAGGTGGGCGGGGAAGGAGGCAGCTCCATGTTTGCAAGGGGATCAGCTGGGGCCGCGAATTGAATTCGCCGAGTTCCTGGAGCTTTTCGACACTCAGCCAGCGCTCCCCGCCGGATCGCAGCCTATCTGGCTCTGGCGCCGAATACTTGCTAGATTGCCACGGTTCAGGAGTTCGGAGACAACGGCGACTCCCGGGGTTAGTGGCCAGAACCTCTCCCGCCCCCAATCTCCTCCCGCAAATACAGCATTGCTCCCGCCCCCAGAGTCCTTAACAACCGCGGGCCCATGGTGCCCGCGCCTCCCCAGAGCTCGCCCACCGACCCACCAAGTTTGCCGACAGAAACAAACCCTTGGGGCGGCTACTGCACTCGCCAACCCTGGTTAGCGGAGAAAGAACGCCGGTCACGGCTTGCTCTAAACTCCAGCGGTCAACCAACTCCGGACACCGCGAGCTCGGTGGGCCCGACCCACCAGGCTGCGGCCGCCGCCCCCTGCCGAGCCCGCGCGCCGCAGCCCAGGCCCTGTTCCATTCGCTGTACAGAAATACCTCATTTTTTTCTTTGAGATTTTTTTCTTTTAAAATATTTTTAAAGCATTACAAGAGCAGTTGGTCTCCTGTCGGCCGATTCACCAATGCGCTGCCGAGACCTACCGAAACCGACTGCTTGGTGAAATGAACTGGGCGGCGCGGCCGGCGGAAGGGCGACCCCAGGCCAGGCTGGCCCCCTCCCCACGGCTTCAGTCCGGCTTAGAAACACACTATGAGCGGGCGGCGCCAAGCGCTCTTCTTCCTGGCCTGCCTCTAGCCTACCTCGGCCGCGGGACTCCGAGCCTCCACGCAACTCGGTCTTGGGGACCGCGGCACCTACACAGCATTAGGCCAGCCAAAGCAAGCAGCAAAGGAACTAGCCCCCCAAAAGACCGAAATTGGGGAGACCAAATTAAAAGCAGCTGTTTAACATACCTTCGGAACCAGGCGAGGAGTCCTGAATGGGAGGGAACGCCTCCCAGTAGCCATTGGCTTGCCCTCGCATACGTCAGCACTCTGGGTCCACCTCCTCCCTCTCCCCGCCCCTTCCCCCCCCCCCCCCCCCCCCCCCCCCCCCCCCCCCCCCCCCCCCCCCCCCCCCCCCCCCCCCCCCCCCCCCCCCCCCCCCCCCCCATTCGCCCCCCCCCCCCCCCCCCGCTTCCACAAAAATAAAAATAAATAAATTAAACTAGCCACGAGTTGGAGTCGCATCCGAAGCAGAGGCTCCTACATCTCCCACACGGCCACCTGGAATTTTTCGAGGACTTCGGACTAGGCCTTTTGGGATTACGAGTTCCGCAGCGTGGAAGTCAAAGTAGGTGCATCGTAACTACCCGGCCTCAATTTCCTTCACACACACAATCCATTTGGAGCAGGGTCAGGAGAAGCGTGTAGCAGTTTGTGATTTTACCACCTAGACGCGTCAGATCTCAGGAGCGAAGCATAGTCCGTCCTGGTTAGTACTTGGATTAGAGGCAGGCAGCTACAGACTGATTTAACCGTGTGTCCAGCCTACATTGTTAGGTGCCTTTCAGCTATGAAATCTGTAAGCCGGGAAAACTGAGTATCTACTGAGAGATAAATCAGACATTTCACTGTATCTGCTACAGAGTGCAATTGTAAATCGGCTGAGATGTTCACGATACCCTCCAAACACTTCAGATCCAGTTAGGTGCTGCAGGAGGATGTGTCTGTCTGTAGATCCAAAGTCACTCCAACATGGGAAATACCGTCTAGCTAGTAGCTGAA